GTAGTGTAACTGGAGTGTAGTGTAACTGGAGTGTGGAGTGTAGTGTAACTGGAGTGTGGAGTGTAACTGGAGTGTAGTGTAACTGGAGTGTAGTGTAACTGGAGTGTAGTGTAACTGGAGTGTAGTGTAACTGGAGTGTAGTGTAACTGGAGTGTAGTGTAACTGGAGTGTAGTGTAACTGGAGTGTAGTGTAACTGGAGTGTAGTGTAACTGGAGTGTGGAGTGTAGTGTAACTGGAGTGTGGAGTGTAACTGGAGTGTAGTGTAACTGGAGTGTGGAGTGTAACTGGAGTGTGGAGTGTAACTGGAGTGTGGAGTGTAACTGGAGTGTAGTGTAACTGGAGTGTGGAGTGTAACTGGAGTGTGGAGTGTAACTGGAGTGTAGTGTAACTGGAGTGTGGAGTGTAACTGGAGTGTGGAGTGTAGTGTAACTGGAGTGTGGAGTGTAGTGTAACTGGAGTGTAGTGTAACTGGAGTGTAGTGTAACTGGAGTGTAGTGTAAAAACTGGAGTGTAGTGTAACTGGAGTGTAGTGTAACTGGAGTGTAGTGTAACTGGAGTGTAGTGTAACTGGAGTGTGGAGTGTAACTGGAGTGTAGTGTAACTGGAGTGTAGTGTAACTGGAGTGTAGTGTAACTGGAGTGTAGTGTAACTGGAGTGTAGTGTAACTGGAGTGTAGTGTAACTGGAGTGTGGAGTGTAGTGTAACTGGAGTGTGGAGTGTAGTGTAACTGGAGTGTGGAGTGTAACTGGAGTGTAGTGTAACTGGAGTGTGGAGTGTAACTGGAGTGTGGAGTGTAACTGGAGTGTAGTGTAACTGGAGTGTGGAGTGTAACTGGAGTGTGGAGTGTAGTGTAACTGGAGTGTGGAGTGTAGTGTAACTGGAGTGTAGTGTAACTGGAGTGTAGTGTAACTGGAGTGTAGTGTAAAAACTGGAGTGTAGTGTAACTGGAGTGTAGTGTAACTGGAGTGTGGAGTGTAACTGGAGTGTAGTGTAACTGGAGTGTAGTGTAACTGGAGTGTAGTGTAACTGGAGTGTAGTGTAACTGGAGTGTAGTGTAACTGGAGTGTAGTGTAACTGGAGTGTGGAGTGTAACTGGAGTGTAGTGTAACTGGAGTGTAGTGTAACTGGAGTGTGGAGTGTAACTGGAGTGTGGAGTGTAACTGGAGTGTAGTGTAACTGGAGTGTGGAGTGTAACTGGAGTGTGGAGTGTAACTGGAGTGTAGTGTAACTGGAGTGTGGAGTGTAACTGGAGTGTGGAGTGTAGTGTAACTGGAGTGTGGAGTGTAGTGTAACTGGAGTGTAGTGTAACTGGAGTGTAGTGTAACTGGAGTGTAGTGTAAAAACTGGAGTGTAGTGTAACTGGAGTGTGGAGTGTAACTGGAGTGTGGAGTGTAACTGGAGTGTAGTGTAACTGGAGTGTGGAGTGTAACTGGAGTGTAGTGTAACTGGAGTGTAGTGTAACTGGAGTGTAGTGTAACTGGAGTGTAGTGTAACTGGAGTGTAGTGTAACTGGAGTGTAGTGTAACTGGAGTGTGGAGTGTAGTGTAACTGGAGTGTGGAGTGTAAAAACTGGAGTGTAGTGTAACTGGAGTGTGGAGTGTAGTGTAACTGGAGTGTGGAGTGTAGTGTAACTGGAGTGTGGAGTGTAGTGTAACTGGAGTGTGGAGTGTAGTGTAACTGGAGTGTAGTGTAACTGGAGTGTAGTGTAACTGGAGTGTAGTGTAACTGGAGTGTAGTGTAACTGGAGTGTAGTGTAACTGGAGTGTAGTGTAACTGGAGTGTAGTGTAACTGGAGTGTAGTGTAACCGGAGTGTAGTGTAACTGAAGCATCTCAGTCACTGGTCTCTGCTGGGGAAGGAACAGTAGTTGCTGGTTTCTCACGGCTTCTGCTGGTGGACCTGCTCTAGATGTTGGTCAGATTATCCTGGATCTCCAACTGGTTTGAACTGGTTTCTCCGTCTGGGAGTTTTGTGTGATTCTCTGTATTAATGAGACGGAAGAGTGCGTCTCACTGTGATTTACTGCAGTGAGAGTTCGGTACAGTGTGACTTGTGTGTTTCTCTCGTTTAGAAAGCACTTCCTCTGGTTTGACTCATTCTGCTCTCAGTATTGTTCACCATTTTTGACCTGGCTGGTGGGAAACAAAAAAATCTCCTGTGATTATTTACTGAAATCTCTCAAACGTCCTGTTTGGATGTTTACTCCACATATTTGTCAAGGAACAAATAACCTGCTTACCGACTGATTGAGATCTAGTGTTTGTGCGTCGTCTCAGTGTTTGTGTGCTTTACTGACTAAATATATGTATGAAAAGCATCTTTAGAAACAGCGAGGAAGAGGAAGTGGCCTGGCTGTGGACGGTGGCACTGTGAGGTGAAGCCGGCCCGGCGTTCCCAAGCTCCCATCACATCCGGTCCTGACTCTGATAAGAGACTCGGAAAACTTCTCAGGACTCCAGTGGACGTTTTTCCCAGAGGATCATGAGTTGCTGTTGTAGTTGTTCTTGTTTTTTTGCGGATCCTGCAATGGGACGTCCGCAGGTGCAGTGGCATTATCCCAGCATCCGTGACTTTTATAGTCGTTCTTTCATTTTTCTTCACAGAATTGTGGGAACTGTGTGGAATTATGACATAAGATCTCATTTACATGTACAAACATACTCTTCTAGTGGCCAACGGATTGGTTTGGAAATACTGATCTGTTCTGTAACACAATGAGCTTAAATGTCATTTTCCAAATATTGAGCACACAGACGAAGCAGCAAATGCACATTTCTGGCATTAATGATGCTCCTGAAGATAGATTATAATATTACTGATACCTCTGATATTACAGACCGTCTGTTTATTGTTCATGTATATTTCTTTAGTGGTGAGTCATTCTTTGCAGGTGCGATAATCATATTTCTTGCTTTGAAAGTGTCATAGAGTTTCTTTTTTATTTTACTCGTCTTTTCCGTGACTGACTTATTTCTTATACATTTTATTGATTATTTTATGTATTTAAAAACGTATTATTTTTACTCATCTTTTCTGTGACCACTTGACTGAATTATATTTTATATAATATTATTCATTTTTATTTTTTAATAGTTTATTTTTCCTTTTACTCATCTTTTCTGTGAGCACTTGACTGAATTATATTTTATATAATATTATTCATTTTTATTTTTTAATAGTTTATTTTTCCTTTTACTCATCTTTTCTGTGAGCACTTGACTGAATTATTGATTATTTTATTTATTTATTAAGAACTTCTTCTTTTTACTCATCTTTTTCTTTTCCTTTTTCCTTCCTTCCTTTTATTTTTTAATGCATCTCTACACTTCTAAATGTAAGTTAACGTTCCAAAAGAAACTGTATTTCCTACAGTATATGAAATAAATTTTCATTAAAAAAAAAAAAAACTTTAGTTTTTACATAGAAAAGAACATCTTTTGTCAACTACATCAGTTGAATAAGTTAATTTATATAAATTCTTAATCGGTTTGCTACCAATAAAATTAAATCAACATTAACTCATGCAATAATATGTATATCTAACTAACTAGGCATATAATAGAATATTAATAACTCAGATGATTCAAGTAAAAAACAGAGACATTTATTTATTTTTTGCCCTTCTGTTTGCATGAACTTCTCAGGTTTTCCTGATGAGTGTCTAGATCAGCACTGATAGGCCAGTCTTCTGCTGATCCGGGAACAATGAAGGGGTGTTTTTATTGGTTAGATGGGCGTTTGTCAGGCTTTTAGAGGATTATTAACCACATAACGATTTCCACAGCGGCCTTATTAATGATTCGAGTCATGTGAGTCTGTGTGTGTGAGTTATTTGAATAGCATTTAAAGCCTGTTACTCTTACAAGCAATCTGCTTTATAGTCTGATCTTATTTTCTTATTGAATCTGGTCATAAGATCATAATTTTGATTTTGAGCCGTCCCGACCTAAAATTTCAACCCCAAAACCTGGTCAAAGAGGTCAGACACTCAATCTGTGCCATAAAATATGAGCTACCATAAAGATACAAACACTCAAGTTTATTTTATAAATGACTGTCAACCCAAACATGCATCACATTACGTTTATTAGTGTGTTTTTGTTAAATCTGTGTAATCCAAGTGGATTGAAATATATTATATGCAATCCAAATACATAAATCATTCGAGTGGAGATGCTTGATATGTTGGTGAGGATGTTGAATATTGGATAATGTTACAGTAAGTACATAGTCAAATCAAGACACACTGTGCCAGAAAATATGAGTTACCATATACATAAATGAAACTTGAGTGTTTTTATCTTTGACTGTCAAACATGAAATCGCATTAAATTTATTTGTATGTTATGTTAAATCTGTGTAATCCAAATGGATGGAAATTTTATATGCAATTCAGAGATGCTTGATATGTTGGTGAGGATGTTGAATATTGGATAATGTTAGCAAGAGCATTAGTATTATCAGCATCGATCTGGTTAGATTGAATATTAGGGGGTTTTTACATTGTAAAGTGGGTTTTAATGGTTTATAATGGGTCTTGTATCTGTTTTCTGAAAGCAATATGAATAATTATAATAATATGCAACACAAAACTGCAAGATATTTGTGAGCCCTGGGCTGCGTGCACAGGAAGTGACATCATATGTCCAAGTCAAAATGTATTCCTATAGCACATTTAAAAGCAAGTGCTGAACACTTATACACAACACAATGAACACAATAACACATTGAGCATATGAAACGAAAGCATACAGCATACGAAATATAAACACATTAAACAAAACAAAAAATCAAATAAACAAAACACACACCACTAACTAATCTAATCTAACCAAAAGCCAGAGAGAACAAATAAGATTTAAGAGCCGATTTAAAACTGGCTAGTTTAGTAGACGTTCAAGGACAGACTGTCAAGGGAAGGCTCGACCACCCTTAGTTTCACAGCAAAAACACGGGACCGTAAAGAGAAGCTGATCATGTGTGGTGGTGATTGCCCTCAGGTCTTCCGGAGCAGTACTACAGCCTGACGTGGTTCCTGAGCCCCATCCTGGGCCTGATCTTCACTCCTCTGATCGGCTCGGCCAGCGACCGCTGTACCCTGCGCTGGGGGCGCCGAAGACCCTTCATCCTGGCCCTGTGTGTGGGCGTCCTGCTGGGCGTCGCGCTCTTCCTCAACGGCTCGCTCATAGGTGAGCAGAAACGGTCACCGTGATTTTGCCAAGTAAGACATGGTCCTGGATCAACATTCCTGTCCCAAAATGTAGTCCTTACCCAATCCCTACCCCTAAACCTAACCCTACCCATAACATTTCCCTGAAATCAGAGGGTAATGAAAGGTGAATAACACTGATGTTTAAGTACTTCACTCTGGTTCTAAGCCTAAACTTGACATAAACTGTAAACTTGTCCCTCAAATCTGATTGGTTGATTGGAAAGTTGATCCAGGATCAGCAAAGATGTTGATCCAGGAACATGTGGTACTACAGGTACACCATATATTGTTCCAACTTCGATGAAAATGATTGGACTGAAAGACTATCCTACACTGTAAAAAAATAATTGTTGGTTTAACTTAAAAAAAGTAAGTTTTCCTGGTTGCCTTAAAGGGGTCATATAATGGTACATGCACTTTTACAAGTTGATTGTACTGAAATGTGTGTTGGCAGTGCCTGTACACAACCATCATATAATGATAAAAATCCATCCAGTGTTTTTGTTTTAATCTCCTTATATGTTTTCCCCTGCCTCAAATCAAGCCGTTCGTTTTTGTGACGTCACACGGTCGGACGCCCCTCCCACGATTGTTGATTGACGGGAGCGTTTCAACACAGACCCGCCCTCGCACATGAGGTAGCTGTCAATCATAGTCTGCGCGGCGCGGACCGGCGCGGTCATTGTTGATATGCTGGAGCACTGTCTATGAGCAGAATGGCGTCTAAGCGATTGTGGTGTTCTGTTCTTGGGTGTAATAACGAACACAGTCATTTTAATGTTCCTAAATCCGAACCGCTGAAGACGCAGTGGCTGAGTTTGTTTTCGAAGGGAATATTCCACACGAGCAACGTCAATGCGTTCATGTTTGCGCGAATCATTTCACACACCAGACTGCTTTATAAACGAGGGTCAGTATAAAGCTGGATTTGCTAAGCTGCTGCTCATGAAAAATGGATCGGTAGCTGCTACCAGATATTCGTGTTCCTGCTGAACCTCCAGAAGAACGGAAGTGAGTGAAACGTTTTATTAAACTTTATATTAATATATTAATCTTTGCAAATCGCTAGCTGCACGCTTCACAATGAATGCGTCTAAGGTTTACACTCAGGGTACATTACGGCATGTTTTCTATGTATGACGTTCTCAATATAATTCATAATTCCACGTTTATACTGAACAACGCGTTATGGTTATTGTGTTACAAACGGTGTATGCACAGAACAGAGGGGCGGAGTCAGCAAAGCTCATGATCATTTAAAGGCATATGCACTGAAACGGCGTGCTGAAAACAGAGCTGTTTTTGACCAGGTAAAATAAGTGTTTTCTTACAATACTAATGAGAATTTTTAATTAAAGTATATTACAAACTTTTAATTTAGACCCTAAAGAATCATATTAGCTTGTACAAAAATGGCATTATATGACCCCTTTAACATTTTGAGTTCATTGAAATAAAAAATTTGAGTTAATACAAAGAAGGAGATTCGTTTAATCAACAGAATCTCAAAATATTACGTTATCTGAACCACATTAATTATGATTTGACAAAAGAAAAAAAGTTGAGATAACAAATCCTGAAATTATTTTTGGTAACACTTTATTTTACAGTGTCATTGTTACATATGTCAGTCCCTCCAGAAAAACGTGATTATGCGATCGCATGATTTAGTGCATAATCACTGATTTGAAATGCGGACATGCGGACTTTGGCTGATTAAAATATGCGGGGCTTGCATGATTTCATAATCCTCGCATTTTCGTTGCAAAAAAGTCACATATATCTTAGCAGAAAGTTGAAAAATGTTGCGTTTGCTTCACGTTGCCATGAGAACGTTATGAAGTGACGTAATTACGCGACGTGAACATCATCAAAAAGCTGTAAAACAGGAGCACACTTTATTTTTTTATATTTTGTTTATTCATTTTTACAGTACTTTTTCTGGAAGGACTGATATGTTACATGTAGTTACTATAGTAATAACTATAAATTATGCATAATTACATGCAACTAACCCTAAACCAAATCAAACCCTAATCCTAACCCTTTAGTAAGTACATGTAGGTACTTAATATTACTCAGTACTTAAATGTATAATTACAGTGTAACAACGGCACCTTAAAATAAAGTGTAACCTTATTTTTTTACAGTGTAGTATTCAGACTCCGTATGAGCAATGCATGTTAAATGAGGCTAAAAGGATTTTAAGTGACCCATCTCATGTACTTTACCCCTCTTATGAACTCTTATCATCTGGAAGAAAGTACAGAACTTGTACCTAACTAGAACGGGTTTAAAACTCATTTGTACCGGTATCAATGAGATTGTTGAACATAAATTAGTGACGTCTACTTATTTTTATGTGATATGAATGAATGTTTTCTGTAATTTTTTAACGTATCAAGTTTTGTTTGGGTGAAATGCTGGCTATTGAGTCCATTGCAAATTTCCCTATCAGGGACAATACAAGTATAATTCAAACTTCAGCATCAAATCAAAATGATGTTTGCATTCTTAACACATGTTGTACATACTTGGCCTTAAAGGATCATGAAACCCCAAAACACATCTTTTTGAGATGTGAACAGATATCACTGAAAACACTAAAAGCACTCATAAATGCTATCAATAAGTGGCTATTTTTGCGTTGAAAAGCAAAGTCGAGGCAACGGCACGAAATGTGAGACAGAAGCGTGCCTTCGCAGTGTGTGATTGGCTGCAGACATGATTCTACGTCAGCTGACCCTCGAGTTAATCTCGGAAGAGCTCGTCCAATCCCATCACTGCGCTGTATCACGCATGCGATCGCATTACAGGAGAATTTAAACGAGCAGTTTCTGTGCAGAGCGCAGAATGACTTCATCAACGCTCGCAACGCGGGTAATAACGTTCACATACGGACTTTTTACACACATATTTGATATCCTCTAGTGCTCTTCTTCAAATAAAATATATGTGCAATTAAGAAACTAATACAGCTGTATCATGAACGCGACGACGATATGATATATATAAACTGTATATCATTTGTTCAGAGACTGTAATGCTCGTAAATGTAATGAAAATATAATTATTAGACCTTTTAAATGTTCTACCGCGTTTCTCCCTCGTTTTGGCAGTTTGTTATTAGATTTTTAACCCTCAACTCAGTTTTTTTCTCTTCAAGGGTCAAATTTTAATATTCGTGTGTCGTATAATGAGTGTGTTGCAGGTGTATTATTGGTTGTTGTCTCCCCTTTTCCCACCCTCTACACTCCCTCTTTTCCACAGCTTTACACGCCCATTTTTTTAGACTTTTTCCAACTCTGAGGTGTGCACGACCAGTGCTGAAACAGGGGTTTCATGACACTCTAACACTGAATGCACTTTTGTTTTTTTAAAGACATGTAATACCTTGTTTTTGTACAATATTCTCTTGACTATCTGTCAGTATGTGTGTGTGTGTGTGTGTCAGCATGAACTCCGTCGGTCTCTATGACATGGGAAAGGACTAGGAACCAGTTCACAGGGAACTGTTTCCTGTTGTGCCCCTTTTTACCTTTCATTGCCAATCTGGAAGAACTTCCTGTCTCCACTGTTGCTGCGCGCCGACTGCATTGTCAGGAGGAAAGCGTAACACTCACTCTACCGCTGATATAACAGAGCTACGAGTCCAGTTAGCTTCCGCAGTCCATAGAATAGATGTTTTTACAATTTCAACTATGTATAAAATAATACTAGAAAGAAATTAACATTATTTCAATGTATTTTATTTAATTATTTGATTTTTAATTGTATTTTATTATTATTTTATTTTATTATTTTATTTATTTTTGTTGTATTATTATTATTATTATTTTCATTATTTCATTTCATCATTTCATTTAATTTGTATATATTTATATATATATATATATATATATATATATATATATATATAACAAAAATAAATAAAATAATAAAATTAAATAAAATTAAATAATAATAAAATTAAATAAAATTAAATAATAAAATAAAATAATTAAAAAAAAAAAATTTTTATTTCATTTAATTTGTATATATATATATATATATATATAACAAAAATAAATAAAATAATAAAATTAATTAAAATTAAATAATATTAAAATTAAATAAAAAATTAAATAATCAAATAAAATAATTTAAAAAATGTCATTATTTCATTTCATTTCATTTGTATATATATATATATATATAACAAAAATAAATAAAATAATTAAATTAAATAAAAAATTAAATAATCAAATAAAATAATTTAAAAAATGTCATTATTTCATTTCATTTCATTTGTATATATATATATATATATATATACACTACCGTTCAAAAGTTTGGTGTCAGTGAGAATTTTATTTTTATTTTTTGGAGGAAAGAAATCAATACTTTTATTTATCAAGGACAGTAAAGACATTTATAATGTTACAAAAGATTCTATTTCAAACAAATGCTGTTCTTTTGAACTTCCTATTCATCAAAGAATCAAAAAAAAAAAAAAAAAACTGTACAACTGACAGACCAACAACTGTTTCAACATTGATAATAATAATAAATGTTTCTTGAGCATCAAATCCTCATATTATACTGATTTGTGAAGGATCATTTGACACTGAAGACACTGACACTGGTGATGCTGAAAATTCAGCTTTGATCACAGGAATAAATTACACTTTACTATATATTCACACAGAAAACAGCTGATTTACACTGGAATAATATTTAATACTATAACTGATTTTTGTTGTATTTTTAATTAAATAAGCGCAGCCATGGTTAGCAGAAGAGAATTATTTTAAAAGTATTTAAAATCGTACCGACCCAAAACTTTTGAACGGTAGTGTATATATAACAAAAATAAATAAAATAATAAAATTAAATAATAATAAAATTAAATTAAAAAATTAAATAATAAAATTAAATAATTTTAAAAAATGTCTATTTCATTTCATTTAATTTGTATATATATATATATATATATATATATATATATATATATCAAAAATAAATAAAATAATAAAATTAATTAAAATTAAATAATAATAAAATTAAATAAATTAAATAATCAAATAAAAAAATAAAAAAAAATCATTATTTCATTTCATTTAATTTGTATATATATATATATATATATATATATATATATCAAAAATAAATAAAATAATACAGTTAAATAAAATTAAATAATAATCAAATTAAATAAAAAAATAAATAATAAAATTAAATAAATAAAATGTTTTTATTATTATTTCATTTCATCATTTCATTTCATTTGTGCACCATAGATGCTAATATGTTGCTAAGTGGTTTCTATGGAGTTTTTAGTGCATTTCCAGCCGTTGCTAGGGTGTTCTGGGTGGTTTCTAGGTGATTCTCTACTACTGGCCCAAATCAAAAGTCCACCCCAAGTATCTATCAGGTCCCTTCTTCAATGTCAGTCTGTGGATTTCTTTTTATAATCCAAAATTGAGCAGAGCACGTCTCTCCGCAATGAAGAATCATTCGTGAATAAAG